AAACTGGGGACAACCAGAGGTGGGAAGGGGGAGGAGGACAAGGGCTAAAAAACTACCTATTGGATACCATGCTCACTACCTGGCTAATAGGATCATTTGTACCCTAAACCTCAGCATCATCCAAAAAATACATCCATGTTACAAACCTGCACATGTAGCCTCTGAATCTAAAATAAAAGTTGAAAAAACACATGCACACGAATGTTCATTGCAGCACCGTTTACAATAGCAAAGACCTGGAACCACCCCAAATGCCCATCAATGATAGACTGGACAGGGAAAATGTGGCACATATACACCATGGAATACTATGCAGCCATCAAAAGCGATGAGTTCATGTCCTTTGCAGGGACATGGATGAACCTGGAAACCATCATTCTCAGCAAACTGACACAAGAACAGAAAATCAAACACCACATATTCTCACTCATAGGTGGGTGTTGAACAATGAGAATACATGGACACAGGTTGGGGAGTATCACACACTGGGGTCTGTTGGGGGGAAATAGGGGAGGGCCAGCGGGGGGTGGGGAGCTGGGGAGAGATAGCATGGGGAGAAATGCCAGATATAGGTGATGGGGAGGAAGGCAGCAAATCACACTGCCACGTGTGTACCTATGAAACAATCTTGCATTTTCTTCACATGTACCCCCAAACCTAAAATGCAATAAAAAACAATTACAAATTAATTACAGAGAGGTCTTAGCCCTCTGCTGGTAAGGCTTCTTTTCTTAAATTGTTGCTAAAGTTCAGGGCGTTAAACCTCTCACAACTCTTAACACAAAGGTTAAGGTAGGACACTTATCATTATACAGATGCTCCTCAATGTACTGTGAGATTAGTCCCTATAAACCCATCATAAATGGAAAGTACTTTAACTTGAGAATGCATTTAATACATTTAATTTACAGAGCATCATAACTTAGCCTAGGCTACCTTAAACATTCTCAGAACACTTAAGTTAGCCTACTGTTGGGCCACGCAAAGCCTGAGTTATTCAATGCAATGCATTGAATGCTATACTCTGTAGAGTACAGTATTGGTTGTTTAAGCTTATGATCATGTGTCTGACTGGAAGCTGTGACAGCTGCCCAGCATCATGTGAGAACATTGTACCAAATACCACTAGTCGAGGAAAGGGTCAAGATTCAAAATTTTGTGTATAGTTTCTACTGAATACATACTGCTTTTACTCCATCATAAAGTCAAAAAATTTTAAATTGAAGCATCCTAAGTTGGGTACCCCCTGTATTTCAAATCACCACCTGCACCAGCTCACTCCTTACCCTCCATACATCCTCTGTCAGCAACTCAGTAGCACCTGGGGGATGGTGGACACTACAATGCTCAGACTTCTGAGTCAGCAAGCCTCGGGGTAGGGCCTAACATTCTGTGTTTTAACAAGCCCTCCAGGAAATTCTGATACACACTAATTTGAAAACCATCAAGGGAAAACGATCACAGGCTTTTTATACTCACTCCTTTTGCTTGTTATTTCTATTGATAAGATTCTCTCCTGAGACTCAAATGATCTAAAACTGAAGTACCATCCTCTCCTGAGGAATAATCACATTCACTTTTTTCCTACATGAAGAGAGAATTGTTAGATGATGGATGTCCCAGAACCTTTATTGTTTTTACCTTTATATACTATCCCTCACCAAAATAATTGATAGCTGTAATGATTATTATCTTATTATTAACAAAATAAGCTTTGGAATCAATCTGAGAATGAATTTAGTAACAGTCCTCCTCCCTTAATATAAGTGTGGCCTTAAGAAAAGTATTTAACCTTTTTGAGTTTTAGTTCCCAAGGCAATAAAATAGACATTATACTTTTCCTATGAAAGTTGTTGTGTGGATTAACAGTGAAGGTATATATAGAACATTCAGTATCAACCCTGGATTAAATGTTCAGCAAAGAGTACCCGTTGTTATTATAGCTTATTTTAGTTTCTGAGGTAAGGGTCTTGGGCACTTATTGAAAAAGAACAACTTTTTGGAAACTGAGTTTTACTCTGTCACCCAGGCAGGAGTGCAGTGGTGCGATCATAGCTTACTGCAGTCTCAACCTCCTGGACTCAGGCCATCCTCCTGCCCCAGCCTCCCTAGTACCTGGGCTTACAAGTATGTGCCACCGTGCCCAGCTAATGTTTAAGACATGGGTTTCATCATGTTGCGCAGGCTGGACTCAAAATTCTGCCCTTAAGCAATCCTCTTGCCTCAGCCTCCCAAGGTGCTGGGATTACAGGTGTGAGCCACTGCACCAGGCCCTTGAAATATTTTATTAATTAAAAGAACTGTTTAAAGTCCCAGCTGATCAGAAAAGATTTTAAAGGCAAATAATTTTCCAAAATTTACATTTATATAAACATTAAGTGTATGTAAATTCCAAACCTTTACTTCCAATAATATAATATTAATTATATTATTCTTAAATATCTCATATTTATCAGATTCTTAACTATGTTCAGTCACCATGTTAAAAGTATATTTGCATTCAGCCACATAAAACAGAAAGGTGGCTTAAAACTCATTACTGTTAATAAACAAATCAGTTTTTTAAATGTAAATAAGTTCTTTCAAGGGAAAAACTTAAATTTCAAAACATGTTTATGTATTTTGGGGTAGATCAGAGAAGAAGATATCTATTATTCTTAGAATTATCTTAGATCCATAATCCTTCATAAAGGATCTTTTCATTAGTTATCAACTGAAGTTTATAAATGTGTCAAGTTGATTTCATCTCTACTGTTGGAGCAAGACTTTGAAGAGTTGCCTTTAATTCCTACAGTCTGGTTACATATATTATGGTAATAGTAACAGCATTCTTTTTTTATTTTACCTTTTAGATTGACAAATACAAATTGTATCTATTATATACAACATGAGTTTTTAAAAATTATTATTATAATTTAAGTTCTGGGGTACATGTGCGGAACATGCAGGTTTGTTACATAAGTATACATGTGCTATGATGGTTTGCTGCATCCATCACCCCATCGTCTACGTTAGGTATTTCTCCTGATGCTATCTCTCCTCTATCCTCCCACTGCCTTGTATCCCTCCCTTGGCCCCCCACCCCAGATAGGCCCAGTGTGTGATGTTCCCCTCCCTGTGTGCATGTGTTCTCATTGTTTAACACCCACTTATAAGTGAGAACATGCAGTGTTTGGTTTTCTGTTCCTGTGTTAGTTTGCTGAGAGTGATGGTTTCCAGCTTTATCCATCCATGTCCCTGCAAAGGACATGAACTCCTCCTTTTTTATGGCTGCATAGTATTCCATGGTGTATATGTGCTACATTTTCTTTATCCAGTCTATCCTTGATAGGCATTAGGGTTGGTTCCAAATCTGTGCTATTGTGAACAGTGCCTCAATAAACATGCATGTGTATGTGTCTTATAATAGAATGCTTTACAATCCTTTGGGTATATACCCAGTAATGGGATTACTGGGTGAAAGGATATTTCTATTTCTAGGTCCTTGAGGAATTACCACACATTCTTTTAAAAGACTATGTACTACTATAGGGAGAAAGTCACTGCTCCTAAATTCAAGGCAGTGTATTCTGTACATTAATCAGATTAAACATGTAAAAAAGTGATTTAAGCAGTTTCTGTTTTCATCTCCCTCAGAAAACTAGATGTTGCAAAGTAATCAACTACTGGTAATTTTATCTTCCTATTTTTTCCAAGAAAAGCAAAATATTGTCTCACCTGATACAAAAAAAAAAAAATTTCAAATGAAAAACAACTGATTCTTGAAGGGCCTTAAATCCAATTCCCATCTACATTTCCCAGGTCATACGGGACTTAGCCCATTTCTTACATCGATGCTGGGCCCCCCAGAAGGCCTGTCAGTATACCGTAGGCACTCAGTGATGCCGTTAACAAAACGTATTTCTGATATTTGTGTGGCCCTCTACAATCTGTGCAGACATCTTTTTTTCTGTAGCATCACATCTTATTGACCCTTTTATAGATGAAGAAAATCCAGATTAGAGAGGACAAGTAACTTGTCTGGAATCCCATTCCAATAAATGACTAGAACGCTGAGTTCTAGTTGTCCTGTCCAAACTTATTTCAAAACACCAAAGAGTAGCTTTGTGGGGAGTGGGGAGGGTGTGTATGTGGGTGTGTAGCTCAGAAAGCAGATGTGTAGGAAGGAGGGGGCACTGGCCAAAATATAGTCACACAGCCAAAACAGATGCAGGGAGTCTGGGAAATACAGTATTTTGGCTGGACATTTTGCTTCCCTAAATAAAATTAATTTTCTATTACTAAGAAAGAATGAGAGGATGAATATTTTATGAACAATTAGCAGTTCTATTGCAGTTAAGAAGGATTTCTCTATTCTCTCTCTCTCTCTCTGTCACACACATACACACACACACACACTTGAATATATAAATATGAGCACAATCACAAAGGAAGATCTGAGTGATTAGAGCCTCAGGTCTTCCTTTGTGATTGTGCTTTACAGATAAAACACTGTCAGTTCATAAGTAAAGCTCTATACTTATGAACAACTAGGGCAAGGGGAGGAACAGTGGTAGATTCTTTTCCTTACTCCTATTATTTTTCTGTTCACGTAGTACATGTTTAAGTATTTCGATTACTGATCTAGCCATTGAAAAAATATTTATTGACTTTAGACACAGAAAAGCAATTCTTATTTTAATTTAGTCAAATATAGTGATCTAATATGATCAGAACTTTAACTTGTCCTTAGCTATCTGGCATGATTCTATTTATATTACTCTGTACTTTTAATTAGCGGTTTCCTCTAAAAAGGCATACTTACAAGCAGATGTACTTGTTTTAATATTGACACTTCATAAACAACATTTGTTACCCCTTTAGGCTGATCACTATGAGAAACAGGGAAATAAGGCCTGAGCCATCACAAAGTCTGGAGATTGTATTCATCATGTTTGCTATATGGCACAGAAAATTAACTTATTTCATTTTTTTCCCACCTTTGTCTGACTGCTCTACAGGCTGTATATTGATGGTCCTTTTGGAAGTCCATTTGAGGAATCACTGAACTATGAGGTCAGCCTGTGCGTGGCTGGAGGCATCGGAGTAACTCCATTTGCATCAATACTTAACACCCTGCTGTATGTCATTTGGATCTACTTTATTAATCCAAATAGAGAACTGCCAGTATTTCAGATATCTTTTTAGTATAAAACAGTTCCTTATTAAATTATTCTACTTGTTGATCAAGGATCTCCATTTACTGATTAATGAAGGTAACAATTCAGAGATTCTCAGCATGTGGTCTGTGGCTCCCAGCATACTCTCTTGTAGAAAGATGACATACCACAGTTATGCACCCCTCTGTCCTTTTCCTCTGTTAAAAGTCATTCACCTCCATTCTTCATTTCTCTATATCCTCATCAGTGGTGAATCTACTAATTCATTCAGTCAACAAATACTTTTGAGCACCCATGTGCCAATAGGTCTTATAGGTATTGGGAAGACAGCAATGAATGAAAACAGAGTTCCTGCCCTTAAAAAGCTTACATTCAAATGGGGAAGGTGAAAAATAAAGCAATAAACATAAATAAAATTATATCAGAAAATATAAGAATTATGACAAAAGGAAGACATTAATGGACATGGAAAACAGGGCTGGGTTTATTTTTGAACTATGGTCAGGGAAAGCTTTTCTGAGATGACAAATGAACACATCATTCCTTCATTTATTACTTAGCAAATTTACAACAGACTAAAAGTAACTTCAAAGGTGAAATTGCGGCTGGATAATTGGCTCATGCCTGTTACCCCAGCTCTTTGGGAGGCCAAGGTTGATGGATTGCTTGAGTCCAGGAGTTCAAGACCAGCCTTTCCAACATGGTGAAACCCCATCTCTACTAACAATACGAAAATCAGCCAGGCATGGTTGCGCATGCCTCTAATCCTAGCTACTCGGGAGGCTGAGGCATGAGAATTGCTTGAATGAACCTGGGAGGCAGAGGTTGCTGCGACTGGAGATCGTGCCACTGCACTCCAGCCTGGGTGACAGAGCGAAACTCTGCCAAAAAA